GAAATCCAGTGCTCCTATGGAATATTTTGCTCCGGAAATCCTTGATGATGGCAGGAGGATAAGGGTTATACCTCCTAAAGAGGTGGCTGATTTGGGGAGGGACAAATGGGGAAATTGTCTCGTTGGTTTCTTCCTTGGTAGAAGGTTGCCATTCTCTCTTGTGAAGGGTTTTATCGATAGGAATTGGAAGTGCTTCGGCAAGGTTTGTGTTGTCTCAAATGGGGTTGGGGGCTTTATTATGAAATTTGATAATGAGAGCTCCAAGGATGAGGCCTTGGAAGGGGGCCCTTGGCATATTGGGGGGCAACCCCTTTTCCTCAAAAAATGGCGTCCGAATTTAAAAATGGCAGGTGAAGGCATTAGTAGTGTGCCGATTTGGGTCAAATTTAGTGGAGTTCCATTAGAGTTTTGGACTGCTAAAGGGTTTAGCTATGTTGCTAGCGCTATTGGGAAACCTCTCTACATGGATAACATCACGGATGCGGGGGATAGATTGGAATATGGAAGAGTTTGTGTTGAAATTGACACAGCTTCTTCATTCCCGAATTTAGTGGAACTAGGCCTCCTGAATGGTGATGGTGTAAACATAAGGGTGGAGTATTTTTGGAAACCAAGGGCCTGCCCTTTGTGTAGAACTTTTGGGCATAATTTGAAGGAAGTTCTCTGACAACACTTTTGATAGCATCGATTATGGTGAAAGAATCCTTATGGTCACCCCTAAAACTTTGCGAATTTCGTTCCCTCCAAATCCCATTAACTGTAGCCCCTAAACAAAGCCTACCCAAAGTGAATTTTAGACTCTTACCTTTCCATATCGTTGCCAAATGGTGGATGTAATCATGCCAGGGTCTAACCACATAACCAAGGTCAACAAGACTAAGGATCTTGCTCCAAATAGACTTAGAAAAATGGCATGCAAAAAATAAGTGGTCAAGAGATTCCATGGATGAGTTACAAAAGCAACAATGAGCATTACTAGTAGCCCCATAACTCATCAACCTATCCTTTGTAGGTAATCTCTCCTTTATAGCCATCCATAAGATCATAGAGTATCTTGGAATAACATTTGAGAACCAAACCAAGTCACACCACTCAACTTTTGCTCTCCTTCCTCTAATTGCCTCCCAAGCCGATTTGGTAGAGAAATCCCCCGAAGGTGAGGGTATCCAACAAATCTTGTCATCAACATTAGAAGGAGAGCAGCTTTTGTTGGTGATAGGAGAATAGGAGACAATACCCTGTTATGCCAAGAACTGGTGCACAACTACAATCGAGCTTCGGCTAAGGAGAAAAGGTGTGCTTTGAAAGTTGATTTAATGAAGACTTATGACTCGGTTAATTGGGAGTTTCTCTTATAAGTCCTTAAGAATTTTGGATTCCCGAGTGTACTTGTCAATTGGATATCCCAATGCATCACTACTCCTAGGTTCTCAGTGGTCATCAATGGGGAGCTGGTGGGTTTCTTTGGGAGCTCTAGAGGGCTGAGACAAGGGGATCCGTTATCCCCTTACTTGTTTGTTATTGCTATGGAGGTTCTCTCTCGGCTCTTGAATAGAGTGGCGGCTAATCCGAACTTTAGTTTTCATTGGAGATGCAAGAAAATGGGGCTGACTCATCTTTGTTTCGCGGATGATCTCATGCTTTTTTGTAAAGCCGAAGGTACTTCTCTGTCTCTCCTTAAGAATGCTTTAGTTACTTTTGAAAGTTGGTCAGGATTGAGTGCAAATCCTGATAAGAGCAATATCTTCCTTTCTGGTGTGAGTGACAATGAAAAGATGGAGCTTTTAAGTTTGATAGGATTTGCCGAGGGTAGTTTTCCCATCAAATACTTAGGTGTACCCCTTATTACCTCTAAGCTTACCTTTGGAGATTGTCGACCTCTCTTGGATAAAATCTTGGCTCGGGTTGCCTCTTGGAGAAGTAGGTTTCTATCCTATGCGGGGAGGATTATTTTGATTAAATCCATTCTTTGGAGTGTGCAAATTTACTGGTCGTCCCTCTTTACCCTTCCTTCCAAAATTCATAAGGAAATTGATGCTAGTTTGAGAGCTTTTCTTTGGTCCGGAGTTGATATGAATAGACACAAAGCTAGAATAGCTTGGGAGGAGGTATGTGTACCCAAAAATGAGGGTGGGCTTGGGTTTATGAAATCTAAGGAATGGAACCTCGCAGCTTCTTTAAGACATATTTGGAACCTGTGCAATCACAGAAACCATACTTTATGGGTCTCTTGGGTCCGAATTTATCTTTTGAGAAATAGAAGCATTTGGGACATATGCATTCCCCAAAATTGTACATGGGCATGGAGACATATCCTAAAAAATAGGGAAATGGCTAGAAAGAATATCAAATGTCGCATTGGCAATGGTAACACCACCTCTCTTTGGTTGATAACTGGCCCCGAACGGCCCCCTTGTTTGCGTATATGGGGAAAGGATTATTTATGATGCAGGGATTGCTAAGATGCTAAGGTAAGTTCTGTGATTGATGGATGCAATTGGAAGTGGCCAAGTGCCTTCTTGGGCTCTTATTAATATGAGGAACTCGTGAATTTCACACCTTCCAATGTTGACGACAAGATTTGTTGGATACCCTCACCTTTGGGGGATTTCTCTACCAAATCGGCTTGGGAAGGTATTAGAGGAAGAAGAGCAAAAGTTGAGTGGTGTGACTTGGTGTGGTTCTCAAAGGCTATCCCAAGATACTCTATGATCTTATGGATGGATATTAAGGAGAGATTACCTACAAAGGAAAGGTTGATGAGGTATGGGGCTACTACTAACTCTTATTGTTGCCTTTGTAACTCATCTATGGAATCTCTTGACCACTTATTTTTTGCATGCCCTTTTTCTAAGTCTATTTGGAGTAACATCCTTATGCTTGCTGACCTTGGCTATGTGGGTAGACCCTGGCATGATTACATCCCCCATTTGGCAAGGAAATGGAAAGGTAAGAGCCTAAAATTCACTTTGGGTAGGCTTTGTTTAGGGGCTACGGTTTATTGGATTTGGAGGGAGCGGAATTCACAAATTTTTAGGTGTGAATATAAGGATTCCTTCACCATAATTGATGTTATCAAAAGTGTTGTGAGAGACAAAGCTATGGATCTTAGGAATGTCAAAGTATCCTATAGCAATAGGAAGTTGGCGAATGATTGGGGCCTGCCTAGATCTATTTTCAAAGATGTTCCTCAAGTTCCTAACACCGTTTTAGGACTGGATTACAGAGCGTTACGCAGAATGGTTTTTGCTTGGTTGTGTTTCTATCATTTGTAACGAGTTTGATATTGTGTTTTTCATTTAAATGATCCTAACCTAGGGAGGTGTCCTATGGTAGGTGGAATTGTTGTTGTTCTCTTTGCTTTCTTCTTGGTTTTTGTGGTTTAAGATTAACCCCAACAGTGAATGGCCGTTTGTAGGCTTGTTTCCTTTGATTCCTTTTTGGGGCATGTCCCAAAATAGGCTGGTCGCCCTTTATCAAGCCTTTGTACATTCTTCTCTTTTTTTAATATATTTACTTACTTAACAAAGAAAAAAAAAAAAAATCAACCTGTTTTGGCTCGTTTGCCACAACGAAGTTTTGAAATGGGCTAGATGAGATCTTAGACCATTAGGAAAGCCAACAATCTTTCCTAAGTTAGTAGTGAGGGCTATTGGCTTGAGGAAACTAGTTTGACCGATTATTTAATAAAAGGCCTTATTAAATAATAATAATAAACATTGTAATAATGTTTACTTATTCTGCACTTGTAGATCCACTTAAAAGTTAAGCAATATGATCCCATCATCACAGCAACAAATCATCGAACTGGGAAACAAATGGAATGGTGAGAATTTCGTTGACTGGTATAGAATTATAAACAGTATACTTCAGTTAAACAATAGATTATACACCATTGAGTTGGCTTTGTCACCAGAGCCTACTAATAGTTCTATCCATCAGATTGGGTATGTATATAAGCATAAACATGATGCAAAAGAAAATGATAAGATCCATTGTGCTTGCATCAATGACACCATTACTATGGTTGTAATGCCAGAATATGGACTTAGCTTCTATCCTTTATTCTTTCCAGAGAAATGAGAAGCATGTGGTGTCTCAGTCACTATTCAGACACAAGATAAAAGAGGGTACCAAAATTGACGATCATATACTCAAGTTGACCAAGTATATGAACAAGCTTCAGATTTTGGGAGGCAGACTTAATGAGGTTTTAGCGATAGACCTAATATTACAATATTTGCCAGATTCTTACTCTCAATTTGTCTATAACTTCATTGAGGATTATAAGAAGGCTACTGATCAGGATATGTCAGAAACATTGATGTTGGTTGAAGCTAACTCAAGTGAGAAGGAAAATGCTTAGAAGTCTACCTTTTTCTAGCTTCTGGATATGTTGAAGGCTACTAATCAGGCATGAAAATGTCAGAAATATTGATGTTGGTTGAAGCTAACTCAAGTGAGAAGGAAAAGACTTAGAAGTCGTTGGAAGAAACTGTAATGTGAAACAACTGGATGGCGCCGCAGTAGAGTTTTTCAACGTTGTAGCGCGAAAGAGTGATTTGGGCAAAAAGATTGTGCCATGGCGTGAAGAATTCGGCATAGCTACGTGAAAGAGTTTTATGGTTTGCGGGAGAATTTGGTGCCGTGGTTCCATAAAATCACGCTACGGCGTGGATAACAAAGAAAACAAAATTCTCACCTTTTCCAACTCCGACTTGAACTTGTACTTTCCCAAAAACAGCCCTAGCAAAGAAAAGTATAAATAGGACATTGTAATTTATTTTAGGGATTATTTTTTTAACTAAATTGAGAGACACTTTGTAGCAAGAAAGAGAAGGAGATTCTTCCTAGGGTTTTGGATTACTCATGCTTTTCGGGGAATTGAGGTTTGCTTTTTTATACCAATGTGTAACTAAATTATTGTCTAGGGATTACTCATGCCTTTGGATTACTCATGTTATTTATATCTGTTACCCGTTGGTATTCTTGATTCGTTTTCAATGATCCAATAATAAAGTCATGGGTTCGAAACAATGGAGATAAGCTCTGAACCCTACAGTTTGAGGTACTGGACAAGAGATAAACCCACAACTTTTGACAATGCATCACGGTTGCAATTTGAATTGACAATGTGTTTTATAATTAACAAATGGTCATGTTACAGGTGGACGATTACCAATGACTTGGTATCCACAATCATATGTGGAAAAGGTTCCAATGAGTAACATGAACATGAGAGCAGATGCTTCAAATGGGTATTCAGGGAGGACTTACAGATTTTACACAGGGGAAAAAGTTTATTCATTTGGAGATGGATTAAGTTATTCAAACTTCAATCACCAATTGGTTAAAGCACCAAAGCAATTATATGTGGCATTAGAGGAAAGTCACATTTGTTACTCATCCAAATGCAAATCAGTTGATGCTGTTGAACCAAAGTTGTCAAAATTGAATATTAAAATACTTCTCCAAATGTTCAAACTCAGCGCAGAAGCACTTATTGGCTTTTGAGAAAGTGGTTTTAAAAGGGAGAAGAAGCAGTAGTGAAGTTCAAGATTGATGGGTGCAGATTTGAGTGTTGTTGATGAGAATGAAACAGGAAGATTGCATTGGGGACCATGTGCTTCATGTAGGAAGCTTGAAGCACTTATTGAATGTGAGGAT